TTTGGTTACTCTCTCCCCCTCCACCCACCCGCCCTCCTCCATCCCTGTGACATTCGTCAGTCTCATCTATGCTTCCATGTCATTGAATCTATTCTGTTCATCAGTTTATTAAGTTCTTTAGATTCCACGTGTAAGTTAGCACAGTAGGTAGCACGTCAGTCTCATAACCTCTCTATTTAAATAGTACTGGAAGTCCCAAACATAGCAATTAGGCAAGAAATAAAAGCCACCCAAATCAGAAAGGAAACATATATGATATTATATGTAGAAAATTCTAAAGACTCTAGCAAAAAAAAAAAAAAAGTTAGATCTCACAGAAGAATTCAGTAAAGTTGCAGAATACAAAATAAACATACATATCAGTTACATTTCTATACGTTAACAATGACCTATCTGAAAAAGAAATAAAAAAAAACAGTCCCACTCACAATAGCATCTAAAACAATAAAATACTTAGGAATAAATTTAATCAAGGAGATAAAAGATCTGTCCACTGAAAACTATAAGACCTTGATGAAAGAAATGGAAGAAGACACAAATAAATGGAAAGATATTTCATATTTATGGGCAGAACAATTAATATTGTTTTAATGTCCATACTAGACCAAAGCCATCTACAGATTTAATGAAATCCCTACCAAACCCCAATGGCATTTTTCACAGAACTAGAAAAAACAACCCTAAAATTTGTATGGAACCACAAAAGACTCTAAATAGCTCCCAAAAATCCTGAACAAAGAACAAAGCTAAAGGCACTACACTTCCTGATTTCAGCTATATTACAAAGCTACACTAATCAAAACAGTATGGTACTAGCATAAAAACAGACACACAGACCAATGGAACACAACTGAGAGCACAGAAATAAACCCATGCCTGTATGTTCCAAGACCTCCCAGTGAATGCCTGAAACCAGACCCTCTATATACTATGTTTTTCCTATACCTGCATAGAATAGTTTAATTTATAAATTATGCACAGAGATTAATAACAATAACAAACAATAAAACAGAACAATTATAACTATACTGTAATCAAAACTATGTGAATGTGGTCTCTCTCACTTCTAACTCTCAAAATGTCTTTTAAATTTTTAATTTAATATTTTCAGACCATAGTTGATGACAGGTAACTGAAACCTCAAAAAGTGAAACCATGGATAAGAGAGGCTACTGAGTCTAGTACCTTATACTAGTTCTCTCATTAACTAATGAGTTAAATAAAATCTTTGGCTTTTTTTTTAAGGAAATAGGAAGACAAGGAATCCAAGTAATAGCATATTCAACCCAGGACATCACTGAAAAGAGATTCAACATAAATGATATTTATAAAGTGTTACACAACTTTTTTCCAACTTTTCGAAATAAGCTATGAACAAACCCCCAAACAACACTGTTACAGCAGAATGTTAGTATTTTCAACTTTGACAACATTGTCTTTAAAAGTGCAGGTATCTCAGTTTGGTGAGTGGAAGCGTATAGGAGACGGGAAAGGAAGAGCAGTGAGGTCAATACCTTCGTCTTCCAAGAAGACCATACTTGAGAGATGAAGATACAATAATAAATGCATGTCAGGTAAAATAGTACCTGAAAGAAGGATGATGTAAGGTGACTCGAGATTTAAAGCAGGGTTTCAGAAGTTGGACTATTACACAGTCAAAAAAAAATTGCTTTATCCAACTCTCCAGGGAGTCCTGAAACTTCAAGAGCCCTCCAGACTTGGCCCCAGTCAGGGTGAGGCTCAGGCCCTCTAAAGCCCACACCGAGCACTCACAGGAGTGGGGTGAAACTGGGTGAGGCAATTCTGGCGGAGAGCTAAGAGCTCAGGACTGTCAGCCAGCAACAAAGGGAATCAACCCTCAGTACCAAAGGGAGGAGACTAGCCGGAGGCTGCAGGAGCACTCGTTCTAGTCACTGGGAATACATATATTTTGCGGAGTGGAAGAAAACAAAGAAATAAATGTTTTTAAAATCTTTCATCTCTTAACTTTCATTAACTTAATTGACTCACCCTATAACTTATGAACTCTCTTCCTTAAGTTAAACATTCCAGGATGGGAGGTAAGGTTAGGTTGCAGTAAGATAGTAACTTGCAGCAAAAGTTAAATCTCAGGGGCTTAACTCAATAAAAGGGACTCAGTTATATAGAGATTCGGGGACTCGGGTTATGGAGTGTCCAATGTTACACACCATCACCTCAAGGACGGCTCCCAGACTCGCTTAGTAGGGAAACACAAAGCAGGCAGAGTTTACACCCATTTTTAAGTTCTGTTGGCTGGTACTGGCCACATGATCCCAACCTAACCACAGAGGAATCTGGGACATGCCCATAAGCTTATGGAATATCGGTGAGCCACTGTCCTGAAAGACATACTGACTGATATGATGGAAGGTAAAGCCAAAGGCTAACGCCAGCAGAGTTTTCTCCAGTACACCCACACACTTTCTCCAAGACAGTGCATGGGTGTGCAAGACTCAGCTCTTTTTTTGTTAGAAAACTTGTTTATAAAGGATGTACTTGTTGTTTTTATTAAATTATTCGTTAAAGATTATATTAGCAAACGAAATCTGGGTGCAACAGCAAAAAACAAAAAGTTGTTTCTATGAAGCTGTCACTGGAAGGGAAGACAACTCTGACCGTCTCATTAAAAAGAACCTCCCAGCAAGGGGCCACTGTGACAATGTGGAACCACAAGAATGCCCCAGAATACACTCTACCACTTACCCTTATAATAAGGCTTATGTTTCAGATAGAAAAGCCAGATCTCAATGTCTCCCTAAACTCTGGGTCTGGCTCAGTATCCACCCCTGCCTCTCGCCTTTGCAGGGTCAAAAGCAAAGAGCTAAACACAGAGAGTAAGGGCTCCCTGGACACCCACACAAGCCCTCCCCATTTCCCTAAGTGTCACTCCCTCTGGACTCTTATGGTAAGTGACAATGTCCACCCTGAGGAAGACAACAAAAACAGCACAAAACCTTGACCTCTCAGCACCCTGCTCTGGTCAGATTCAGACTACTACCTTGGGGAACAGCATCCTCCTGAGTGTATTTGTCTACACATTCATACTGCGCATGTCTGCTGACCTTCCTTACAGCCTGGGGTATGGAAGACAATGGCCCGAGAAAGCCTTGCTCTCCATTCTGACTTCGCTCAGGAGAGGGAAGGAGCTGCCATTGGCTCCTCAGGCCCAACGAGTGGGTGAGGGAGCAGGGAGGAGGGGACGCCTGCTCCTCAATGGCCTGGCCTTCCATTACCTCGAACATGAGCTTCCCCACCTGGTTAAATAACAAACCCAGAGACTGAGACGGAGACCAGCTTTCAGTGCTGGGCTCATGTCAAGGGAGCCACAGTGTGCAGTGACCTCTTTATCACCTCAGAAGAGGACATCAACAGGGCACTATGTCCACCAAGGAAAGCTCTATCCTCAGACAATTCAAGCTCAGCAGTGCCACCAGGTGACTGTGCGGGAGACAGGGGGTGGGATGGGTGTGAGTCAGCACCACCCACAATGCAGCCTAGAAGCAGAGGAAACTCTGCCATGCATCTCCTGGGGTCCACAGGAAACAAACTGCCCCTTATGCCGCTCCACTGAGGCTGGAGCTGGGGTGCTCCACAAGGTAGGTGTAAACACCTTCACCTTTGGGAGTCATTACGGCATCGCTGAGATCTGGAAGGTCCAGCCCACGTTCCTACTAAGGGGGTGACCGTAAGGCTGGCTGGCTGCATCCCGTGTACACGAGGATGTTTTTGAGAGGTGTGCTTCTTACTCAGGTGTGATTAATCAGAATATTTCCTAAAATTGTTCAAACTTTGGTAGACACTCTAGAAACACACAACAGAGACAGACAGATACACATATACGCAAAAACAAAGGTAAGTTGTGAGGTGATAAGACAGATGCAGAAAATAGGGATACAAAAAGAAACAGAGAGGTCAAGAGATGCAGGTAAATAGTGACAAAGGTGCAGCTAGAAAGAAATAGAGACAGAGAGGCAATGAAAGAGTGAGAGACACGGGGATGCAGAGGCAGACAGAAAGATGCACAGAGACACACTGAAAAAAATATACAGGGAGCAAAGAGAGAGACAGTAAAGGAGAGAAAGGTGCAGATAGAGATATAACAGAAAGAGGAGAGAGACCTCATTGAATACCTGGATCTAGTCTCTTCTGAAATCAACTGATCCCAGGCTCCATTGCAACATGAACAAAGTAAACTTCAGTTGGGTTTCTATCATTTGGAGCCAAAAACATTACTTTTATTGCTGATTATACTTTCCCCAAACTAAAAATTGACCTTGATCACTGTGACTTGCCAAGACACCTGAGGCATCAGTTTGGTTCTTTTTGACACCAGGTGCCACTATATCTGGGCCCAGAGAATTCCACCATGCTGACACACACTCTGCTCACCACTGCACAGAACATCAATACTAAAGAGCCAGGAAGGAGGACAATGGAACCGATTTTCTGTCCCCTCTGCCCACTTTTAACACAGCACCCCAGCTGCCTCTAGTCTCCCTCAAGGAACAAAATATGTTCCTTTCATTCTGCAGTGGCTTCCTGCCCCCACCCAGTTAAGAAGGCTCAGAATACAGACAACGCATAATGTGTTTAATTATGATAAAAGCTAGAGCCAAGTAAAGGCTTTAAGGTGCTTTTCGGGGGGAGGGGGGGGGCTAGAAACAACAACAAAATGTCTTTGGGCCTTGAGTAGACTCAGCTGGCAGGTCACAGGCACAGACTCCAGGGTCACACTCATGGTCTCGCTGTGGGGGTCACAGGGGATGACAGCCAACTGAATCAGAGTCACTGTAGAGCTCAGATCTCAGGGGACAGGCTGCCAGGCAGCTGGAATTCTGGGTGAGGACAAGCAGGCACTTCAGGAGAAACACAGCCATTTCCAGTCAAAGTACTGACAGGAGTCAGCGCAGGAGCCCTGCGGGAGAGACAGTGGTCAGCACCCGGCACCCTGGGGGACACACCCTGTCACCTCCCCTCCCGGCCCACGCAGCATCACAGAGAGCTGAGGTCCAGGGCATGTCGTCACCACCTCCCCGGTGTCTGTGGAAGGGTGAAATCAGTAAAGAAGACATACTTCAGCTCCACACAAACATGCAGAAGGCAAAGGATCAGGTGTTATCCCTCAGGAGGGGGGCATGAGCATTTCAACCTTTTTAGCAAATTTAATAACTAACCTTCCTCCCATCACTAGCAGCTACTTCCACTCACTTATAAATGCCCACAAGCAGGAGCCACCAAGATGGGTCATGTGGGCATCATCCCCATGTCCAGCACCCAAGTTGTGGCTCTGGCTCCAAGTTTTGTAAGAAGATGCCACCAAAGTGAAGCCCTGGTTCTGGGTAACAAGCCCGGAGCCTCCTGCAGAAACTGGGCAACCGTCTCCCCTAACACTTGATCCCGTGGCAGGGAACAGGCCATGAATCAAGGCCTCTGTGACCAGGAACACTCACCTCACCACCCCCCTCTTTCACCTGCCCTCAACCCCCATCAATCGCCCCACTAAATCAGAGCAAAGATAGTACCTGCTGGCTGAGGCCCCTGAGATCCTACAAAAGTACATTATACAGAGAAAGGTCTCATCACACAAACAGCTGGTCCCTCTCCCACCCCACAGGGAAATGAGATAAGCAACTTCATTGGAAACTTATTTCCTCCCTACTATTGGCCACAAGGCCTTAACCAACCTAAGCTACAATACCCCAAATGAATGAACCTGTCCCTAGAAGGAAGGAAAGCCAGTGCTCTGACCTTCTTTGAAAAGGGGGCAGTGAGACCAGGTCGATCTGTAAGAGGTCCTAGGACACAGGCCACCAGCCACCAGTCACATCTGTGGCAGGGCTACCTCTCAACCAGTAAAACAGGAGCCCAAAGTTCCCCCCAAGGTGGTTCTGTCCCTCCCACCACCAACCCAGCCTGCTTCCTTCCCCGTCAGGAGGTAAAGTTACACCTAGAAGCAGGCTCTCCCTAACAGAGGGTCTCAGGCACAACCCATCTTCCCTTTTCTTAAAGTTCCTTACCCTTCTGTTTCCTGTGACGGATGACAAGGCCCAGCCCGAGGAAGATCAGCCCCAGCATCAAGCCCCCGACGCCACTCAGCATCTTGCTCCTGGCAGATTCAGACTGTGCCCCTGGGGAGCAGAACCTGAGTGTCAGCATCTGTCCCACACCCACAGTGTCCCTGTGGGAAGCCTGGAGTCCAGTCTGAGGCACAGGAGGTGGAGGTGGAGGTGGAGGTGGAGGTGGAGGTGGAGGTGGAGGTGGAGGTGGAGGTGGA